AGCTCTGCTGGGGCTGGCCTGCGACCCCGGGCACGTCACTGCCTTCTGAGTCTTGGTGCCCAGCCAGCCGGCAGGCGGGTCAGCGCTCGCCTCGCTTCTCTCTGGAGGAACAGAGCTGTGGCCCCGGGGACACCCTTCGTCTCTGTCCCCTCCCGGGAGACACCCAACCTGCTGCTCTGAGCCCTGCCACCTCCTGGGACCTGCTTCCGGTGTGCACAGTCCAGCCCTTGCTCAGAACTGCGGCCCGGCTCCTCTCCGAGGCCTGGCTGGGCGCTGAGGGAGCGGGGCCATAGCTGGACCCGTGGGCCCTCCAGCCTGGGCTTCTGCCGCAGGGCCGCACCCCTCTTGGCGGGTCAGAGGCCCGAGTGCCTGTCCCTCCTTGCTCCGCATCTAAAGCGTCTGCCCAGGCCTGCCGGGTGGCTGCCTGCCAGGAGCCCCTGGCCTTACCCTTTGCCCGTCCCAGCACCCGAGGGCTCCTTGTGGGCTGGACATGAGCCTAGTCTGGGGCCTCCACTCCTGCTTCCTCTCCCCTTTTGGGATAGGAACTGGCGTGGGGGGCACCCTGAGCAGAAGGAAACCGCCTGGCAGAGGCCCGTGTGAAGCAGCCCAGCCTCCACCCTGCAGCCCCTGCTCCCACTTGGCACAGAGGGCACCTTCCCCACTGGGTCTCCCCCGCCTCCCAGCTGCTGGGCTGGGTCCCCCTCACCCCACCCGAGCATTACAGCCTTACGGGTGGTCTTTATCAGCCCAGCTATTCATGAGCTGTGTACCCTCAGGCCAGTTGCTTAGCCTCTCTGAGCTCATTGGTAACCGGGGTCATAATCTGTAGTTCTCTGTGTCAGCAGCTTAGCACTGGGCATGGGCCTCCACCCTCTGCCTCTCTCCTGAGCGTCCCTCCCCCACCCCTGCAGCCTGTGGTCTGGACAAGTCTGCACCGTTTGGGGCCCCACTTGTCCCTCCCCAGGCCCCATTTCGCTCCACTTCCAAGGGCCTCCTGGCCTGGTCGTCCTGTCCGGGCGACCTTTTCCCTGGCAGCGTGGGCGTGGGCAGCCCCGCTCAGCAGACCGCTGTTTTGAGACCCACAGTGGGCCGGCCCTCAGGATTGGCTGTCTCCTCCCTGGTCCCAGGGAGGGCGAAGGCTCACCCTAGGGTGGCCTGACTCCCAGCCCAGTGCTTGTCGCTGCCAGCGAGGGAGGAAGGGATGCGCACGCCTCACTCGCCTGAAGGGCGGCGCTTTCGTGGCCATGTGGTCCGTGCTGTCACCGCCTCCCGCGCTGCTCGGCGGAGTTGGTGGGAGAGGACACGTTCCACATGCGGGAGCCCCGCCCGCTGGCGGC